CGACTTTTCTGGGAGCTTCTGAGGATACCTCCCCTTGGTTACCCTCCCCACCCCCAGCCCACTGTAGGCTCCTGGGTCTGTGCTGTGGACCCTTTCATTTACTCCTTTGTGGAGTTGGGAGCAGCTTCCCATTAAAGGAGATCAGAGGTAATTAGCAGCATTATTTTGACAAGTTGGCTAGAGCAGTTCCCCTTCCTCCAGCCTGGGGGGCTGGTGGGGGGGAGTTAGTAAGGGCAGGAAGCTGGAGGTAGAGGGAAGAGAGGGGAGTCAGGCCCAATAGTTTTACACTCTGGTGACTTCAGGATCTTTCCTTCTCTCCTCCCTGAAACCGTTTAGGGTCATTTTCTGCCATCTCCCTGTACAGTCGGTATAAACACACAGTCTGCCAGTGAGCAAATAAGACATTTGTGGAGAGCCAAGAAAATGGGATAAGATGGGGGCAGATTGGCTCAAGGCTTAATTCTCATTCAAAATGCCTTTGAACTGCCCAGGCCCTAGCCTAACACTTGTGTCCTGTCCCATCCATACACTGAACGCCAAATCCTCCTCCCTGTCTCCATCCTACCCTTGTAACAGCCATACATAGAATATCACATCCCCTTCCTCACTGCATCCCATCCTTGCAACAAAAATATTGTAGGATTTTAGCATCATATTTGCAATTCTTTGAATTTCTGGAAAACTATTAAACTTGTTGTGGGAAAATTATGACCAAGCCTAGGGTCAAATGGCTGGAACACCTTTGCCCCTTTATTCATTTATCTGGATCATAAAGATCCACTTAGTTTCATCAGAGATGCCAGTGAAAAGTTAAACCTCAACAAGCCTGGCACCCATAGCTTTGCACCATTGGAACATTCCAACACAAAGGACAGATGTTTTATCTCAAGTGTCATCTTAGCACTCGGACAATCTGATGTCATTTTTGAGATGTGTGTGGCATGGCTGTGAATATCTGAAGCACTGGAACAGAGAGGGGAGGAGACAGTGAGAAAATCCAGAGCTTTGAAGGAATCCGTTATGGAAATCTACAGTCTTGGATCATGGTGGGGAGAAAAGAATGACAATTTCTGTTTTCATTTAAGCTTAAATTGGAAGAGGGGACGGCCACTCAACTCTAGCCTCACAGAGGCTGGCAACTTCTGTTTGTCAAGGCCTTAGGTTCTCAGTTATCTGGGGAGTCACCAGGCGGAAAGACCCTTAAAGGCATTGAACTGCCAGCAGACACCTTAGCAGGCCTGCCTCCTCCACTCTGCCCCTCAGGTCTGTGGAATCCTTGCGGTTAGCTGGAAGTTAACAAACCCGGTGTGGCTCAGCGGTCCCCTGCACAGGGCATGCATATTAAAGCCGACAAGGCTTACAAATGTAAATAAGGGTAGATTGATTAGGAACAACATTATCGCTGGGAATGTCACACTCACGGGCATCAGCAATGAGGCAAATTGGGGGCAGCCTCGGCCCTGACCACCCAAGTCGAGCAGCCTTTTTAGACTGGCTCCTCTTCCCTTTCTTAAAACGTTACAGAAACAAGGCCAATTAGATCCCCAAAGTAATTCATCTCTATGAAAAAAGCAGACCACAGGGGAAGTGGCGGGTGGGGGCTGGGGAGATTAAGATAGGGCTTGTTAGAGAGAGCCTGGGGATTGAGTCCTGAAACCTACTGGTAGAGTTTACAGGTCAGGACCATTGTCTGAGATGCTGAAAAGTTAACCTATCAAACAGCGGGCGAGGAGTTTGCTGAGCTCTGCAGACCTCAGGGTTCCATGTTCAAAACGTTTAAGAATTAAGTCAAACCGAGGGAAAAGCGTCCGAGTGGAAGAGGCTTTGCATAGCTATAGTTCCATTCTAGAATCCTAGAATCCAAACAGCTATATGTAATCGAAGAAGTAAAACCCGTGTGTGGGGGGGGGGAGGGGGGCAAATGCTTAGGAGTAAAATACTGTAAGGAATTTGAAAGATTACTTTCATAGGGCTATGTGGTTAACTGCCTGCCATACATATAGCCAGCTTCAAATTTAAAATCACGCTGACCTTTGAACTCGGGGTGTCACCCTCGAGTATTGAAAACAACCCAATTTCCGAGAGCAAGAGATATGAAAGCTAAAATAGTAATTCATACTTTTTTGCTTTATGCTGATAAGCTATCAGAGAAAAGGGTTTTACTCCAAGGCTTAGCAGCTCCGCTTCCAGCACTTTGCTCGCTCTTAAGGTAGTGTCCTTTCCCTCACCCTGCATGCCTTCCCTTAAGGATTTTTCAGCTGCACTTCCGAAAGTCAGTCGTTGGAAAATCACATGCTCCCTGGTGTTAGGAATTTTGAATTTCCGCGCTGGCCCAGCACCCAGGTCCTCTTCCTTATTCTGTGAGCACCCCCAAACACTTCTACTCGGTCACTGATCGCTCAGATTCACCACCCGGCTTCAGGAACCGCTCAGGTTTTGTGGGTTTGGGGTTCAGGGTGGTAAAGCGTCCTAAGGAAGTCCGGAAGGAGACGAGGCTGGAGGGTGGGTGGGCAGGCTCGGCAGCGGCGAGAGACTGCAACGCGGTGGGAGGGAAAGGCCCCCTGGGAGCCGCGTGCACTGCCCCAGCCTAGCCGCAGCCTGCGCCACTGAATGGAAGGGCCGAAGCGCAGCCATTGGCCGTCAGCAGGGAGGCCGTGCACGCATTGGGCAGCGCGAGGGGGCCGGGCCGCCTTCAGGAATGTACTACGGCGTGTCCGGCACGTCTGTCCGCGCTGGCCAGGCGCGCACACCGTTCGGGGCCCCGGAAGGCGGTGCGTACCGCGTTGAGGGATCAGGGCGCGCAGGCCCAGGGAGCCGACCAGGTTACCTGCTGTGCCTGCACCCGGCGCAGGCCCCAGACCAGAGCGCGCGTGCGCGTGCGCGCCAACGCGTGCGCGCGGACGGGCCTCTGGGTCTGGGTCACGTGGCGGACCAAGCTCCGCCTTCTCCCCCGCTCCTCCCCCTTTCCCTCCATCTGGGTTTCTTTCTTTTCTTTCTTCTTATTTTTTTTTTCAATGAACACACACCGTGTGCATCTTAAAGCCACACTGCCCCATTTCACGGCTTCTGTTGGCTTCTTACTACTCCGGTTCCCTCTACAGTTCAAGTGGGAAAAGAAAAATAATAGGATGTAGCAGAATTCAGAGTTTCTGGGTCTGGTGTCAACTGAGGGAGGAACTTAACTTGAAAACTTATTGGAGAATGGAATGTGCTTTCTTAAGTTTTTTTCCCCCCTTAAAGAGCGTAGTTGTGTAGACAGTTTAATTTGTCGCTGGTTCCAGGACTCCCCCCACCCCGAAGGTCGCATGTTTTTTGTTCAATGTAAAGCAAATCCCCGGGATGTCTTAGTGACACTAGACGCAATAGCAGTACAAATCCTCGCGATCTGCCCACAATTTGTTTCAAATGAATCCGACATCAAAGCCTTTATTCTCTCCTACGTCATACTATTAAATATTACAGGATGCATACCGAGTTTTATTTTTTAAAAGCCTAAAATTGACTTTATGTAAGAATATGACTAATTAAAAAAGAAAACATGAAAAAAAAAAGAATATGACTAATTAAAGGGGGCTCCAGATGAAACCCAAATAATCAGGAAATCTCTCAATTTCATTTCTCTGGGCTCCTGAAAAAATGTTATATATATATATATATTTGTCAAATAAAAAAAAAGCCTCGACTTCTACGAGACTATGTGTCTGGGTTCTCTTTACAAACTCTTTCAAATTGGACTGTGCTGTTGTGTATTTTTTTTTTGCGGGGGGGGTGCCAGGGGATTTTTAAAAAGGTGGCTTTTCCCAACATCCTTGCTCTCTTTAGATTTCCATTTTGTTTATCTTAATACGAGGCGTTGTTCCCTGCGAGAGTCTAAGTCTTGCCTTTGGTTATAAAAGAAAAGAGGAGAAAAAAAAATTGGCACACACTGGCGCACTATCCACCACCCTGTCATTATTGGTGCAGGCCTGGGAATTCAAGGCGGACCTCCCAGTATTTGCTGCAGCTTGAGGCCAAAGAGCCTCTAAAAGGGTTTTCTTTGAGGAATCTCAGAAATTGTTTAAGCGCTTAAAAAAATATTACATATCCCCCGTGTCTATTGCGAGGCAAATGCTCCTGTATGTGTGAGCGTGTGCGTGTGTGTTTGCGCGCGCGCTCGCAAAAGCCGTCTCACAAAAAGAAGACACTGTTGAAAAGAAAAGAAATAAGAAAGAAAGGAGGGGGAGCATTCCTTAATGGAAGTATTGCATGAGAGAAGGTTGGCGCTGAGCGAGTCCCCCCCCCCCCCAGCCGGGGATGCACACACGGGGGTTGCCTACCTGGGTGGTCTCTCTACTTTGGTGAGCTGTTGCTAAGCAGCTAATAATAGTCATGTTTGCTGAGTAATTTCTGCCCTCCGCGAGCCAATCGCGTCGCAGAAACCCAAGCCATCTGACAGCCCCGGGGGCGGGAGTTCCAGCCTTTTTCTCTTTCGCTCGCTCTCTCCCCCTCCACCCCCTCCCCTCCTCCTCCTCTTTCTCCAAATGGAGAGAGTTCTTTTTTTTCTTCTTCCATCTCATCTATTGAGTCAAGGAGCTGCTGCGGCCGCTGCCCGCTGCACACACACAGAGCGGAGTCCCCAGGTCCCGGGAGCAAGAGAGGCGCGCGGCGCGGGGGCAGAATGGTCCAGCGGGTCGGTGAGGAGAACAAGAAAGCAAAGTCCGGGACCGAGCAGCCACCGCGAACCCAGCAGTCCGAGAACGAGCAGCCGCTTCAGAAGCCGCCACCGCCAACCCCAGCCGCAGCAGCAGCAGCAGCACCACCACCACCAACAGCAGCAGCAGCAGCGGGAACAGTGGGAGCAGCGGCTGCTCCGGCCCGGCATCGCTGAGACCCGCCGGGCACCGTCGCGTCGCCGGCAGCGGGCGCCGAGGAAGCCAGCGCGAGTGGCAGGGGTCTGCGCGCGCCTTCTGCCGTGAAGGGGTCGCGGCGCGGGGCGGGGACATCTGGGGGGACTTGGGGACCGCGAGGCGCGCCCTGGAAGCGCCGGCTCTCGCCCTCCCGCGAGCTGGATGTGGGCAGCGGCGGCCACAGAGACCTCGGGACCCACGCGCAATGTGGCAATGGAAGGGGCAGGGTCTGAGTCCCCGGCAGCGGCCACGGCCGCAGCACCCGCAGCGCCCGCCGTGTGAGCGGCAGCAGCGGGTCTGTCACCCGGAGCCGGAGTCCCCGGCGGCCAGCAGCGTCCTCGCCAGCCGAGCGCCCAGGCGCGCCCGGAGCCCGCGGCGGCGGCAACATGGCCTCGGCTGGTAACGCCGCCGGGGCCCTGGGCAGGCAGGCTGGCGGCGGCGGGAGGCGCAGACGGACCGGGGGACCTCACCGCGCCGTTCCGGACCGGGACTATCTGCACCGGCCCAGCTACTGCGACGCCGCCTTCGCTCTGGAGCAGATTTCCAAGGTGCACGTCTGTTCCCTCCTCCCTCTCCACTCTTCCCTCTTCTTCCTCTTTGGGATCCCTGCCACACACGCACACAGACACCCTCCTGAAAAAGCAGAAGACAAGTGAAGGTTGAAAATTTCAAACCCTCCCTCCGGACTTCGGAGGAAAGGGCTGTCTGAGGTCCGCAGGGGGTGGAGGGGTGCGTGCGTGCGTGTGTGTGCGTGTGTGGTGTGTGCGCGCGCACACGCCCTCCCTGGTGTGCCTTTTCCGGAGCTTTGGAAACCGTCCTGAGTGGACCACCTCCAGGGCGGCTGCGGTGCAGCGCTGCCCCGGGCCCCAGCGCCGTTCACCCGAGCCCCTACCCTCGGTTGCAGCCTTAAACCTCCGCGTTGCCACATTTCTTAACCTCTTCGAGGGGGAGGCGGAGTGGAGAGAGGCGGAGAGAGGCAGAGGGGAGGGAGCCAAAGTAAAGGTGGTTTCCTTTTTTGGCAGCCGGTTCTGCTTTCGTTGAGCTTGAAATCTCTGCTTCCTTAAAAATTATTCTCGGGAGAGGACGTCCCCTCTCTTCCAGGTTTTGGGCCGCCTCTTCTCCCAGCCTGCCTGAGAGAGGGGCAGTTGTAAACAAGTTGCCACCTTAAATCTTTGGTGCTGGTGTGCAGAACGACCGGGTTCATTGTGTTTACGAGGCTGGCTGAAATGTGTGGAATCCGGGGAAGGCGAGCACCTAGCCTGGGGCCGGCCGGGGCCCTGGCCAGCGCCAGGGCTCCGCCGACCCGAGAGCTGCCTGCGCCCTGCCCGGACCCCCGCCGGCGTCGGCTTGGGCCTCTTCCCCGTATACTCGGCTATTTTTTTTTTTTCTTAAAAGATCTCACCAGGAGGGAGTGGGAGAGGAGGGAAAGATCCTTGTGGCCGCCCTCTTCCGAGCACAAATAGTGTAAGTTGCAGATGGCTGCCGCACTTTCTAACTGAGCCCCGCGTCGTCTTCCAAGGCCGTGGCAAAGTGTGTGGAGCGAGCTCTGGCTGCCGGGCTCACCACGTGGACCCCCGCGTGCAGCAACGCCAGGCCGGGGGCCAGATGGGCCACGGTCGCTGTATATTGTCCCTAAGTGCGCTTGCGTTCTTCACCCGCCTTCCGGCGTACCGGAGGAGGCCCACGGCTGGAGCAGGACTTGGGGCAAGGGGGGTCGTGGCCTGGTGATTTAAGTGTTGGACTTCTCTGCCCTCCCTCTCCCGGACCGGGATACTAGTGCCTGCCTGCCGTTGGCGACTCCTCTGTTAGCCTCTCTCCCCAGCACGCCAAGTCTCATTCAGGGATAGTGCACAGGCCACGCGTGGGGACGCCCCGTGGTCCCTAGAGTGCAGTTCCCACGCTGCAGCCTCGCTGATTTACAACCTAGTCCCCCCCATGCCCCCAGGGCTCCCTCTGACCGGTCCAGGTTCCAGCCCCGAGGGCAAGTCCCTGCGCCACGGCCGCCCACGCCCCCCACTGCTGGGGTGGGGGGTCCCCAGGCGGGTGTGCGCGGATAGCGACTCCCCGGCGTTCACTCCTCCCTTCTGCTTCGTCCCCAGGGGAAGGCTACTGGCCGGAAAGCGCCGCTGTGGCTGAGAGCGAAGTTTCAGAGACTCTTATTTAAACTGGGTTGTTACATTCAAAAGAACTGCGGCAAGTTTTTGGTTGTGGGTCTCCTCATATTTGGGGCCTTCGCTGTAGGATTAAAGGCAGCTAATCTCGAGACCAACGTGGAGGAGCTGTGGGTGGAAGGTAAGAGACCCGGCGCCGCTGGCGCGTCCTTCGTCTTCCTTCCCTGTATTTGATAAAGATATTTGCCAGCCTGCACCTAGAGCCTCGCTGTGGCCAGTGGAGCCCCTGCCCGCACCAGGGGCGACTGTTTATTGTTTGCATGCCTGGCCTGAAGCCAGGCCCTCCCGACAAAGGCCGCGCTGTAATCTACTCGGGGCGCTGCGCCTTGCTAGGTGTGGTGGGAGAGAGTGGCGGGGGCGCGAGGCCCCTGCGCGGGACGGACCACTCGGCAGGGCCGAGGGGGGGGTCCCCAAGGTCCGCCACAGCCGCCCGCCTGGCTTTGACCAGGGTGCCAGCGGCCCGAGGAAGGCCTCTCGGATCTGGGCTCCTGGGCTCGGCTTTCCTCCCCCCCCCCCCACCCACCGCGTCTGCCCAGAAAGAAGAGGGGGTGGAGGGCAAGGCCACCCCTCTAGCTGCAGGGAGTGTGCGCGCCCCCGGGGCGCGCGGGGGGCGGGCGCCGCGCGGGCCTGCGGAGGCGGCCGCGTGTGTGGTCCTGTTTTTTGGACAGCTTTCAACTCTGGGGGAAAAAAACATTTGTCTCAAGGTACAAAAAAAAAAGGGGGGGGCGGTGGGGGGGTTGAAAAAAATAGTAAAGCCCAAACTGGAACGCGTGTTTGCAAAATAGATTAATGTTTCCTCGCGGGTGGGGGCTTTTTAAATGGAATTATTTTGGGGGAAGACTGCGTTTGGCAGGCACGCAAGAAAGAAATTTTTTTTTTTAAAAGAATGCAGGTTTGATAGGAGGGGCCACGGGAGCTCCCCCTGGGGTTTGTGTGCCGGTCTTTTTTATCCACGTTCCTCGATTTGGGGGGTTGCGGACCTGCTTTAGAAAAGGACTTCTAAATTGAAACTAGGTTCGCTGTTTTCCCCCACCCCACCACTATGGACGATTTTAGGCCCTTTGTGATTACAGGCTTTCTTTTCCCTTTTTTTCTTCGTTGGTCGTTTCTCAGTCATCTCTTTGAAAACTACCAATCCCTTGTTTGAAAACATTTTAGCCTCCGGCATACACTGCTTTGGGCATCTGAGTAGTTGGGCAGATGTTTCAACCCCAGATAACTGGCGCATGTCTACTGTAAGCCACCCAGGATAAAATTTGGAAACCGGAGTTAATGAGCAATTCCTCAGGATGGTATTGGAAACTAACCTTCCAGAATATCCACCTTTCGGTATTCTGCAAACTAATGGAGTATTTAGTTGAAAAGTGACAATTAAAATAATAGTTGAAAAGTAACAACGCATTCCTGCCTTAAGTATCTTGGTTAATGAATACAAAGGTGTCCTTTGGATTGATTCCATTACGTAATTTACGCCACTTTGCTTCCTTGTCACTGGTAGTTCAGGGACTAGTTTTATTGAGCACCCACTTAGTCCCCTAGCAACAAGTTTCCTAAGTTTCTGTACTGTCTATGCTGTTCCAAGCACTGTGTTGGGAGACACTGCCCAGAGATCTGTGCTTCAGACTTCTGGAATTCAATGTACTTTCACCGAGTTTAGGTTTACACTTGGACTGGTCCATGAACGTTTAATTAGGAGAAAAAAGGCCTTAGTGATGTCTTGAGGCAGACAGGAGTACTGGAGAGGCTAGCAAGAGGATGCTGTAGTAGGAAGAGGCCACTGTCGACAAGACCCCCCGGAAAGGGAAGTTAAGGTCCTAGGTGCAGGAACTGACCAGCAGGGCTGTAGAACTAGAGCTAGTGGTTCCACAGTTGACTTTTTCCACACCGATGACCATGTGCGATTTGGTTTTTAGTAGTCGGAGTAGTTGTTTCAAGAATGACATGAGATTTGTGAAGACGGACTGCAGGGTTCAGTGGGAAGGTGGTCAGTAAGGGGGCACACCCTGGCCTGCTTTGGGCATCTTGAACGCCCCCTCTCCCTCCACACACACACACACACACACACAGACACTAGTACAGACCATACTGCGGCCCGATCATGCTAGGCAAACCCTCCTCCACATCCCCAACTCCAGGCTCAGGGGTCTTAGCTCCTTTCTGCATTGGCATTTTAGTATGGCCCATTGGTTCCTGGGAACACTTAACACCTACATTTTGAGCAACCACCATACTCCAGGTAGTATGTATTTCTTTTTATAAGTCTTGGAACTCAATAAAGTACCTATACATATATGTATATAATGTTTCTTACAACAGCTGTCCCTTTTTTCAAGTGACAGCTTTTCCAATAACGACCATAAATGGTCATCTGCATTTCTATTCATGTTCTCTTTGCCTGGCGTTCATTGATTTCCGCTGTTTAGTCTGATATTGACTTGGTCTCGTTCATTCATTTATTCATTCTTGCCTTCTACAAGAAGCAAGTTTCATAAATTAAACTGGACAAGGGGAACCCAATGTCACAGTAACCTGAGGTCTTGTTTATGCTGTATGGAATTTAGTGTTCTCCTGTGGGTCTTGGCTTTGAGGAGTAAATTTCCGGTGGTGATGGGTGACAGTGGAGGTCAGAGAGTCACAGTGTGAGCAGCAGGCCCAAGCTGAGGTTCATCTTTGCTCCAGTCCCTTCTTTATCGCTGTCAGTGAAGCATGCTGTTGCTTGATGCTTTCTTCAGGTTCTGGGTGTGATTACAGGAGCCACCAGCTTGCTGTGCACACAGACAGACGAGGGCGGTCTCACATGTCCTCAGTTAAGCATCACAAGAGAGGAAAGACAGATTGTAAGAGAAAAGGAAAGCTGGGGGGACAGTTTCTCCTGCCTTTGTGCTTGTGTGGGTGTCTTCACACAGGCTTACTGTGTGCATCCTGTCTGCCAAAATATTTTTACTATGGCTAAAAAATTAGGGAAATCTCTTCGACAGCCATATCTTTGCCTTGACTTCGTGGCATAACATCCTGAAGAAAAACGTAGCTTATTAAGATAGTCAATCCATTTACCACAAGATGAAGCCATTGTTTACCTCCCTCCCTTCCCACACGTGCACACCTTCTGTGCATGCATAAGTGATAATGTTTTTGATTCTGTTAAGATGTTGGTTTAATGATTGCCTTTCGAGAAACTTTCCATCGTATGTGAGGTGTCAACACACCTGAGTCTTAGGGTGTATTTTTTTTTACATGTCACAGATATCAACAAGAGCTTACTTGTGAGTGGGCCAAAAAGGTTTGATAAAGACCTTGGTTTAGTTGGGCACCTACTATCACAGAAACATGGTGGCTTATAAACACAAAGCCACAAGTGGTTATTTCCACGCAGATGCATTTGACCAGTGTGGGTTCTCTGTGCCTACTCTGCACCAGGCACTGCCCAAGACACTTGAGAGAAAGAATGATGACCATCTATAGACAGTCACTAGGTGGTTAATTGCCAAGTTGTTAAGGAAATCAGGGGAGACTTCCAGGATGGTCCCAGGCTCGGGAGGGTGGAGATGAGGAATATTCTAGGCATAACAAAGAGGAAGGGTGAAGACTCAAAAGTAATAATAATAATTTGTGGTGGCCTTCAGTTGTTCACCTTCCAGTGACCATGGAGGGGGTGGATGAAGTAGGGATTGGGCATCTGGTGGTTTGGAAGGTCCACAGGGGTGTGTGCCATGTAGGGTGGGTAGGGCCTGTGTGGGCTCTCCAAGATATTGTTGTAGATCTGTGCTTCTTAGCTCTTGGTCCCCTCCCTGATGCCAAAAGTGCTTGCATTTGCTTCTCAGGGTGCTGATGGGAGCTGTTTTTGTTTTGTTTTGATTTTGATTTTGAACTGTGCCCATTTCTCAATGGCATTTCTTTCCTGAGTTAACAGATCTGCTGTCCTAGCTCCTTAATATCTGCTTCCCCTCTGTGCACTCCCCCCTCCAAGCTCTCTGTCACAAGTTTGTTGTCAAGGTACTCCTGTGACAGAATCTTCATTTATCTCCCCGAGATAAAAGCTTAGCTAGCGCCTGGCCTCCTTTTCTGAAGAGGGCAACAACCTTGAAATGACTCCATATTGCCCTGGTGTTTGATTGTTAAGGGCTTTAAGGCCAGTATCAGGGAAGAAGATGAGATTTTTTTTTTTAAGAGAAATAGGAGATTTTGCTTTTTTAAAAACATTCTTGTTTGATGGGCTGTCTTGCTCTCAAGTCTGCACTGTGTGTTTGCTGTGGGCTGTGCACAGTTAGAGCCACCATCCTACCGTTGCTCAGCCTTGGCACTCTTGCCATGTGGATCTGGATGATTCTCCACTGTGAAAGGCTGTGCACCCTAGAGGCTGTGCAGCAGAACCAGTGAATGCTACCCACTAGGTCCCAGCATCACTGTCCTCATCGAGTCAAGTCATCATACCCATTCATTGTGAGAGGCCCCAACTGAGAACCACAGAGTTGGAGGATAAGTGGCTGGGTAGAAGACCTGTATTTTGCAGGTTTAATTGGGTCTGCAAAGGCATCACTGTGGTGTGTGTGTGAAACAAGTGCACACAAGAGAGGTGCAAGCATGTTGTTGGTGTTCCCTTTGTACCCAGAGAAAAATGAATGACAAGTTAAAACCACCAATAAGTACTTGCAAAGAAAACAGCAGGTGGCTCAGGTGTTCCCCACGCAGGGCAGATGGTGAGCTCCGGACCCATCTCTAGGCTGCCCACCATTCTTGACCCACCAAGAAGTTCGTTCACAAGCCAGTTTGGGTCATGGACTGTTGCAGATGCATCCAGTACTGCTTGGAGCTTCCAGGAGATGACAGCTTCCAGATGTATGAGCCGCCTGGTCTGTGTGTTTAGGTTATGCACCACAGCTGATGCCGAGATTAATGCTGGCTGGAGAGCTAGGGAGATTGGTCTGCTTTTCACAATACCATGTTTACGTTTCATTTGGATTTTGCCTTCAGTGCTGACCTGCCTGTGACCCCTGGAGCCCTATCCACTTGGGGTGAGGTGGTACTTACTCCCGCTTGCTTAATTTCTCTTGCTGGGGGTGGGGGTAGAGAGGGGTTTCTGGATGCAGAGAGGGGCTTCTGTGGCTGCCTCCCACACAGTGA